TGAAAATAAATGTTGCAAATGCAAAATAAAATGTACAATATTGTTCACAAAATTTAGAGTCTTTATGGTTAGAGTTTACACTTCTCACATTTCACACTTATTTTCTGTAGTTATTTTATTGCTAGCAGATGGCTTAGAAACTAGAAGAAACAATGGATAAAGAAGTTCCAAAGTAAATCTGAGAATTTCATATAATCTTCACCTATTTCCTATGTTTATTCTACTGTTAGCAGCTGTAGTAGAAAACTGCCCGAATATAAAGCAATGAATCACCATTCCTGTTTAGGTGTTACTGTACTTTGAGTACTTTGACACCATCAATATCAAACAAGCTTTTGTGGCACAATTCCCAGAACTTTCCTTGCTTTGAAAACACAGTGGGGTAGGATTTATCAACTTGTTGACAGTATAATGGTTACAAAGAGAATTGTCTAAAGTGTTATAAAATGCTTATGCTATGGCTTTGTAGAAAGTCTGGGCTGATCCAATAAACTTGTTAGGTATTTGAATGTGGATCGATAAGTGGATGAGTTTATTCAAATCCTGGTTCTGATAACACAGTGGGGTAGGATTTCTCGGCTTATGTACACAGTATGGTAGTTACAACAAGAATTATCTAAAGTACTATATAAAATGAGAGAAAATATTCATGATATGACCCTGTACAAAGTTGTATCCATTCCAATAAACTTGCTGGTCGGGTCTTAGTGGTAATATAGGTGTGAAAGTGCTTATGAACATCCCTTTTCCTCATAAATAACTTAGAAAGACTAATAGAATTACATAAAGGAAATGTAGAGCTTTTGTTTGGTTATAAACTTGTAGGTATAAAAAGGAGGCATAGATAAATAAGTCTTCTCAAATGATGAAGTGGTGGGCAGAACTAATATGGTGGATTTGATTAATATCATGATATCTCAGCAAATAGAAAAGGTAGGAGGTTCTTATTTTATATTCTAGCTCGCCAATATCAGAAATTTGAGTTTATAATTCATATGAAACTATATAACATACCAGCGTGACACACAAAAATGGATATTTAGGGTTTTTTAAATTTACTTTCAAATTAAGAAATTAACTAATGTATAAGTCTAAAATTTGAATTAAAATCTACAGTTTGAAACCAAGTTTATTACCATACATTCATAAAATAGTAGTTCAATAAAATTTTGAATCTAAGTCTACAAATGTGATGACATGCCCTCTGACCCCTAGCTACTCATAATGATAGGGTTAATTAGTGTATATTTAGAAGTATCGTTGATTTCTGTCTAACATCAATGGAACAAAACTCATAATCCCTACAAAGGACACCAAAACAACTGCAGTATACTTTTTTTTCACATCCGAGGGGCTTTGAAATATTTTACGTTTTATTTAATCTTATGATTACCATATCTATATTGTCTTGATCTGAGGGCAAAACTGCACCTGTGAATCAAAAGAAATTATAGAGAACTTATTTAAAATTGTATATCAGATTTAATTTTTGAAAATAGTAGCATAATATTTAATTATTGAATTATTTTTTTTATTTAATTATGTTTAAAAGGACATTTAACAAATATAATCCAAAATATGTTTTAAACTACAAATAAGCTCCTTCTAAGACTAAAATATCTTTTTAATTTTTCATTGAATTTTGGTGCTTGTTCTGCCATCTATGAGCAGTATTTAAACATTTTATAGTATTTTTTTCTTTATAAAACAAGCCCCCCACTAGCACAGCGGAATGTCTGCGGACTTACAATGCTAGAATCCGGGTTTCGATACCCGGGGTGGGCAGAGCACAGATAGCCCATTGTGTAGCTTTGTGCTTAATTACAAATAAACACATTTATAAAACAGTGTCTGGGTGTATTCAAAGTCAGTGGAAAATTTTCTCAACCAATCTTAGTGGTAAGGTGTCAATTTCGATACCACCTTATTTAATGCACTATACTTTTTCTTGTACTTTAGTGCTTGTTCTGCCATCTATGAGCAGTATTTTCATTATAAAACAGCGTCTGGGCATGGTCAAAGTCGGTGGGAAAATTTTTAACCAATTCTAATCGTAAGGTGTCAGTATTTATACCTCCTTATTCAATTCACTGTGTATCACTTTTGGCAAATCATATGATGATAAGCAAGGCAAGTGAAGAAACGTTGTGTGCTGTGTTTTAAAATAAGAAGTGGGTGGTGCTTATTATAGAAACTGACTCTTTTTTTTTAAGCCTGTACATGGTTTAGGACCATATTCCTTTGTTATACATTTTAAAACATCTTGGTTTTGAAAAGAAATGAGTAGCACATATGTGACTTTTATTATTTTTCTATAGCATTGAAAAATCATGCTATATCACTTATCTATTTATTTTAATCATTATACTGTAGTATTAGCACTAAATACATATGTTTTTAGGAAAAATGTTGATTCACAAATGTTAGGGTTAGGATTTACCATCTTCTATCACTTTTCTTTCTCTACTGCTTCTCACCAGGTTGACTGTCACATGTCCTATTGTTGACTCCCTCCCTTTCTACCTAGTTGGCTTAGGCACATCTATTTCTTTTTGCAGACCCTTGGACTTTTATGGCCAACCAGGTGGTCATTCAGGTTCTTACACACAGCTTTTTTCATCACTTATTGTCTCTTGCTCTTCTGCCCTTTTTCCTCCTTCTGATCCTCAGCATATTCTGCAACTTGAGGCCATAGTATTGGATCTTTTGGACATGAGAGTCTTCAAGAGGATCCTTTGCCCTCTCTATGGTTTTATTCTCATATTTTTGTTTTCTCCCAAAATACCAGGGACTGGCATCCAATCATCTGCCTTTCCTCGCTCAACCACTGGCTGGTGGTTCCTCAGTTCAGGATGGAGGGGGGTTTCTTCCTCCTTTTCACTCAGACTATGTATGACCAAGGTTGATGTCTGAGACGCCTTTCTACATATTCTGATTGCTGCCCATTCTCCTGTTGTTTCTTTCACAAGAATGATGTGTACCAGTTTTGAGCTTTCTTCTTCGGATCCTTACATGTTCAATTGAGCACTTGCTTGCCATGTCCACAGTATCAGACTTCGTTTTCATTATTATATGAATGACTAAATTTTTTGAGGCTTCTTCACAGAAAGGCACATCATTTTTCCCCCAGAGGTGGGTTAGCTGGTTAAGTTTTCCAAGTCAGTCCTGACTCCAACTTAGTGTTTGACTTAGTCAGACTAATCCTTCCCCCATTCATTTGTTGGACATGGAATGTCTAGACATCTCGACTTTTGCCTCTCTTATACTTCCTGCATGAGAATTTCTATCTCTTCTGAGGACTCTCATGTCTCTAGTCCATCTTGTCCCACTAAGGCTTCTTAAGTGGACTATGAATGACTAATGGAAGATCTCTCACAATCCTCTGTCCTCTCTTGTGAAGCTGCTGCCTCCAGTCTGGATTTTCATGTCTCTAGAAGACTTCACAGTTTCAAAGATCTGGTCTCCTATGGAGCATACCTTTCACATCAACCTTTTGGAACTTTTGGCTGTCCATTCAATCAGGTGTGTTCCTACTTCATATTGTGGGTCACTTGGTTATGATCTACTTGAAAATTTTACGGTCATTTCCCATATCAATTGTTAGGCTCGGACCTTTGCTTTAGCATTTGGGACTTTCTTTATAGGACTCACTCACATCAGGATCGTCTGACAGCCTTTCATGAATGTGGGGCTTTGAACATGGCAAATGGACTCTCTCAGTTGGATAGTATTCCTTCTACAAGTTAGTCACTTCATTTTCAGGTATTTCATTGGGATTTTTGTAATCTAAGCAAGCCAATGCTTGATGTGCTCACCATGCTTCTCAATACTAAATGCCTCTTATTCTGATCCCCTGTAACTCACCTAGTACTTGTACCCTCCATTTTACCTTCTCCTATGTGTCTGCATTGATTCATGACACTCCTTTTTGCTGGCTTGGTTTTGGTTTATTTTTCTTCTAGGGCACCTCTGTCTCTATCTTAGGCACTAGGTTCAACCTCATATGTCTCTTTTCACCCCACAATGTCGTTCTTTTGTTATATGTGTGGGATTTATCTGATCCCTTGCTCCCCAGTCAGGTTTCTCTGACCTCGTAGCCCTTTTATCCCTTTCATGTCACCCTTCTAAGCTCTCCATCTATCAATGAAAGTACCAATTTTTTCACTGCTGGTCTATTCACTTCTCTCTACTAACAAGCCATCCACCTTTTGGCCTTTTTCACTAGTTTGTTTGATCAAACATTGACGGTTTCTACCATTGCAGGCTATCAAACAGACTTTTCAATTACCATTCATCTTTTATGCTATGGGTGTCTCTTTTCTTCTCTTATTTTTCCACTTTGTTCTAGTCTTTCCTAATTCATTGTCCCCCCTCATTTGGTTCCTTTGCCCAGCTGGAATCTTAATGTGGTTCTACACACTTTTAAAGAGGCCCGGTTTGAGCCCTTAGCCACTTGCTCCTTATATCATCTCTCTCTTAAAACCTATTTCCTTCTCCTTCTTGCTTGTGGTCATCATAGATCTGATCTTTGCACCCTGGTTGCTCCCCTTACGTTATTTAACAGATCCTTCTTGATTTTATTCCTTGACTCATCTCTTCCTAAGACTTTAGAAACTCATGAGAGAGATTGTACCTTTTCTTCTCTACTCCTTCCATCAATCTCACCCTTCTATGATCATACTAACCCTGATTTTCTTTTGTGTCCTGGCCCAGCATGGCCATGTGATTAGGGCACTCGACTTGCAATCTGCAGGTCACGGGTTCGAATCCCCGTCACACCAAACATGCTCACTCTTTCAGCCGTGGAGACATTATAATGTGACAGGCAATCCCACTATTCATTGGTAAAAGAGTAGCCCAAGAGTTGGCAGTGGGTGGTGATGACTAGCTGCCTTCCCTCTTGTCTTACACTGCTAAATTAGGGACAGCTAGTGCAGATAGCTCTCGTGTAGCTTTGCACAAAATCTATAACAAACAAACTTTTGTGTCTAGTTTGGGTAGTCAGGTGTAATTTGGCATGCACAGCTCCATTTAAGGGTTCCCACAATCGTTTATTCTTGCCATGGCATCCCTTTTCTTCTGGGAACTCTTCTGCTCTATGGTTACTGGATGGATTCATCACCTCATCCAGATCATCTATTCCTCCATGAATTGAGATGCTCATAGTCTGTATCATGCTTCATCATATCACATAGGGTTTTCTACAAGACTGCAACAATTGTGTGTGTGTGTGTGTGTTTATATATATATATTTCATTGTCCATTCCAGACTGTACCTACCATCAACTATCATGGAAACGGTCAGCATTGGAGGAGTTCTGCTCACTTCCCCTGCTTATTCACACTAGCTTTTCAAATTAGAATTTGCAGTCAGCCATCACACTTTCTCCAATAAAAGACTTTTGCAGTGGTTAGGTTTGAATGGGTCTAGGCACCTCTCCTGTGTCTCCCCGATGCAAATTTATCCAAACCCTTTGGTTTTCAAGTGGGGCATAAGATACCCTTGCCACCCCCAGTTCTTAGCAGTTGGAGTGGTAAACTTGGAGAATTCCTCACCAATTATGTGATTCTTCTGGAGAGAGAGTCCAAATGAGCAGCACAGTTCAGTGAGAAGTAGGACAGGGGTTTCAGTGTAGTGTAGGTTACCCCTATTATATGATATACAAATTTCCCCAGAGTTTGGCCACTTAGATGGGGCAAATCTATATGGTCTGATCATTGCCCTAGCCACGCTACAACACTACTCCTCATTTCCAAGTGACCTGTTGTGTGAAAATGCGTAGATGATCTTTTTTTTCCACCCATCCCTGCAACATATTGCCTTGTTTTGCCATTCTCCTTTTTTGCTTCTATATTGGTGAAAAGTATACCCTGCATTAGTGTTACCTCTCTAGCAACTCTACCCTATATAGTGTCACACTTCATGAGTTTCCCCATCAGTCACCTTCTCTAAAGGGAGCTCATCCAAGGTTTTCCAATTGCACCAGCCCTTCCACCATGTCAGTGTGAGATTCTAGCTACTGTGTGCACAGAGATAAGTATATCATTTTGTAAGTTATCATTTTCCTTATCTGAAAATATATTTTTGATAGATACTTACCTCCCTCTGCACACCTTCCCACCCTTCTTCCCAACTACTGGTGCACATTATTTTGGCCTCTTCAAAGAATAAAGTTAATTTTGTGTGCAAGTACTTATGGGGATCTACTGTGCATGAGGGATGTGTCATCATATTGGTGGAGGGACTATTGTCACATGATGATTACATCATGTGCTAGCAGAGTTCACATTATAATAAATGTCTTGTGTGAGATAGCTCAAGGCTAGTGGCATGCACAAAATTTCAAAGGCAGATGCTCGAGAATGACTACTGAGGTAAGTATGAAAAATAATTTACAGGTAAGGAAAATGTTAACAACCATATTTTTTGCATGGTTCATCTCATAAAAAGCTAAGGACATTACATTTAACAAGGTATATGAAAAGTTAAATATTTTTGTCTTTATGTTGGTGAAGTATGATAAATATATATTTAAATAATTCTGTTATAATACTGATGTAATTTTTATTTTATATTCTTAAAGAAAATACTAATTGTATTTTTTGATGAGCCCAAAGAAGTGTTTTTGGCTATCCCTAGATTTACATGAGTACCTTCACATTAACAAAATCTGGCCAAAGCATAATAATGTTATTCTGAATAATTTAAACATTTCTGTGAAATATCAGAACATGTTGTATAAGGGCTCTATATTATTAAGGGATAAATTATACAGGAAATTCAAGCTTTGTTCTAGGCTTTACCAATTTAGAATCTAGAATTTTTAAAACTTTTTGTTTGTTTTTTACAAAAGGTGTGACATAGAGCTGGACAATTAATTTGATTAACAAATACAGTTGATTACCTGTTAGCATCAATTAGTGTCAAATAAAACAATCGATTAATCAAAATTACAATAATTCAACTAATGTCACAAAAATAATCAACTAATTAAAACTGGTGTTTCCAGTTATCATTGTTTTTGATTATTCCAACAGTCCAAGTAATTGAAAGATTGCCATGATGATTTCTCACTACTATTTAGTAGTAATTCACAGTTGTTCAACACAATTAATCAGTGTCAATTCTTGAAGCAATGAAAATATTAACAAAGAATTAGTTTATTTAATTTTAGTAGAGGAGGCTAATGAAAAATTGTATGGAGAAACACACTGAAAGGTATTCATTGTATTTTCAACTTGTTACATGTTTTGTAATACATTGTATATATGATACATCTTCACGTACAACAGTTTAAGATTAAAAAGTATCTTAATCTTAGATTGTTGTCTATCATATTAAATTAATGGTTGTTCTAAAATGTCTTTAACAAACTAAAACAAGCTGAAAATAGTTCAAGAAACAAAATCAGCTGAAAATAGGAATATTTGTCTCATAAGAATAATCAGTTAGTTTTATGTAGTCGATTAATGAGCCTGATGAATACTTGATTTGCAAATTCCACTAATAGACCAGTTTTAATGTGAAGTCTATTTCAAAATACTTTAACAACTCTGATGATACATCATTCTTAAATTGAGTATATTTATCAAATTTACAAAATGTACATTTGCTTACATTGCATAAAAGCTTAAAAAGAGGAATGTGTTATGCTTACTTTTTCTTGTATCATAATTGGTTTATTTATGACGAAAAAATCACAATCTTCTTACATGTTATAGCATCAAATGGCAACATTGCTGAGTATGACAAGTCAGAAAAGTGATGCTGTCTATGTCCAGAAAGTGGAGCAATCTTTGTCTCAGGCACGGGCTGAGATCCAGGAGTTAACAGAACGTCTTCAGCAGACAGAAAAACGACTTGAAGCATTTCAGAAGCAACAAGTGTTACATGTAACTTCTGTCCAAATGGGAACTGTGCAGTCATCTTCATGTCAGTCATCTGTAGACAGTACCAATGGAAAGTATGATTATTTACGGACAATGCTGGAACAGTCACAGTGAGTATGAAAAAGAATTAGTTAATGCTACAGTTCTGGAACATTTGATTCATTTATATAGGATATTCTTGAGGAATGATAAACTTGAGCTCAGTCTTTACATAAAAAGAATATGTAACTATGACACATTAACACTTTCACAACAGGTTCATGTATTTTACTTTACCTTGTAACCACAGCGTAACCATGAAGATATATGTTCTATAACTCTGAAAGTACTTCATGTAGCTTCACAAAATTTGGTGAGCTTTCAGTAAACATTACAAGTCTTTTGAAGAAAAAAGAAACAGAATTTGTAATTAAGTATTTTTAATAAAAGTTTATCTGTTATTATATGGAGTCGGAGTGTTGACTGCTCTGAGTGCAAAGTGATTTTCATGTTAAGATTAAAAATACTTTTCTTCATCTGAAAATTTTCAAATTTTATTTGCATAATCTCTAAAACCTTCTATAAATCTCAAACGTTTTTTTTTTTTGTTGTTATTATTTTTTCTACCATTACTATACAGGGTTGGTCGATTTGACCAACCTTGTAACCACCATATAAAATTAGGAGTTAAATTTAAATTACCCTTTTTTCTTTCTAGAATGACTGCAAATTGTAAGAGGAAACCACAGTTGTTTATCCTAATAAGCTTAAAGTTGTAACAGTATACATTTATTTATACTTTATTGTTTTATAGACCTTTGAACTATGCCTAACTAATGATCCTAACACAAGTTGTAAATCACTCTGCATATGTGCACTTCATATTACCATATCGAATTACATAATACATGAGCTGCTCACAAGTATACATTGTGATGAATTTTTATTATTTGTTTTTTTCCATTATCTTACCTAACCTAATAAGTTTCTACTTTTTTTACATTTTAGTTACTTTTATAATAATAAATAAAGAATACGCATGAAAAACAAGAAATATACACTATCCTACCAATATCCAATAGTCATGGGACACACCTCTGATTGCAGCAAAATGGATGTGATGACAAAATGTGCAAATAGTTTGGCCTATAAGGATGATCAGCGGTTTACTCGGAAGTCATTCCGAACTTGTACACTGAATGATAAGTACTCGGAAAGAGCTAACAGAGTTTCAGAGGAGGAATGATAGTTGGATGTCATTTGGGAAAAATGTCTGTATGTGCTATTGTGCAACAATTAAACATTCCCAGGTCGACATTTGGCAATGTGCTGAAGAAATGGAAGTCCACATGTGACATTGAGCCCAAGAAACGACCAGGTAGG